CTAATAAATCTTCACTATCTCCATACATATCGGCAGTATCGAAATAGGTACTACCAAGTTCGATAGCACGATCAAAGACTTTGAATCGTTCTTCATCAGATCCAGGAGGTCCATATCCAAGCGATAAACCCATTGTTCCATAGCCGATTTCTGATATTTTTGGACCATTTTTGCCTAATCGACGTCCGGGCATTGAAGACTTGTTACACGATCGACTACACATTTTGAGTTTCTCTTAGTAGTGTTGATGCTTATGAATTTACTAAATCTTTGTCGAGTATATATACTTGTGTAGACTTCACAGGAACATAAGAAAGGTGAACGCGTTTCGTACTTGACAAGAAAGAAAAAGAATGTAAATGACGGATTATGTTTTTGATTGTGCTAAATTTTGATACAATAATATAACCGGTTCTGTTTACAACCAAATTATTTAATAAACACTTGTTAACACTTTTGTCATCAGTCGATTATCGACGATTGAGGGTAAACGTCCATGATGATCAGAGTTGTTCTGCAGAGCATAGACGTGGATGAATGGTGATCATTAGGTTGCACCTTACGACTGAGACACCGATATTTTTGGTATTAGTGATTTCTCCTAACAAGAAAAGAAAACCGTGATTGCATGTGACCGATCGGAACATTATATTCCTTGTTTCTTTTAAAGGAAATGCAAGCAGTTTAATAATTCAATGTGCTATTAAAGAAAATCAATTAACAGTCGTGCTCAAATGCGATAAGGAACTCACTTTTTCGTTTTCTCTTACTCGTTATCGCGTGCTTTAATCATCTCATCGATAAAAACAAATTCAATATGAACTCGAATATATTCATCAATAGTTTTCAAAATTTCTTTACGAACGAAGGCCACATATACAGTAATTCATTCTTTCACTTATAGAATAGTTCTGAAGGTCAAGTCCGATAAAATAAACATCACGTAGTTATTACGAGATAGTACACTTCATCGTTTCATTTAAAACTAAAGGAAACTTTTTCGATTTATAAAATGAATCGACACCTCGGTATTTTGTTGAATATTTTCAAGGAATCGTTGAGATGAATTGTTATTTGTTTTTCTTTCTTATCATACAAAGATACATACATATTATGCCTCTGATTCATTATGTACAGAATAAATATGCATAGATGTTTTTCTCTTCTTTCTGTTCTTCGTTTTTTCTTCCTCCATATTTGTAATACAATACCGAAGGTTACAAACATCGACATATCATTAGTATTGACACACGAAGAGAAAAACATGGCTGGTGTAGCTAAACTATTCGATGGTCATATTCTCGATAAATCCAACAGAAATGTCGATCTCAATCATGAGAAATATCAAGGAAAAGTCATCGGTCTTTACTTCAGTGCTCATTGGTAATTTTTGCACAACTAAATCCATTCGTCTTTCTTATTTTCCACTGTAGGTGTCCACCTTGTCGTGGTTTCACTCCGATTCTGGTCGATTTCTATAACAAATATGGTTCAGAAAAGAACTTAGAGATTATCTTCATAAGTTCTGATAATGATGAAGAATCATTCAATGAATATTATCAAGAAATGCCCTGGTTAACATTGGATTTCAAAGAACGCGAGAAGAAAAATGAATTAGACGAGAAATTTCAAATCGATGGAATTCCAACATTGATTTTACTCGATGGAAATAGTGGAAATATTCTCTGTAAAGATGCAAGACAAGAAATTCAATTTAATGATAAACAAGGTGATCGATTTCCTTGGACAAGCTCATCAGAGACAACGAAAAAATCTTCTCGGTCGTGTATTTGTTGTTAACACTGCTTCGTATAATATCAGAGTAGATCTTTTGAGAAATAAATGGAGGAAGATTCACTTTTATTTCTGAACTACGTAACAGAAATTGACGTTAGACGGTATAGTAGAAGTAGTCATGGCAACGATTAGTCGTTGGTGGCCGACCAGAGAGAGGCCTACGAATGAGTAACCATTGAGCGATGGACTTTTTAGTAAACATAGCTAGTACTTGAAAACTATTCCTTGACAACTGGGTAATTGGTTCGGTTGATGAAAAAAGAAGAATCCTTGTCTTGTATTGATTCTCGCGTGGGACACAATGCCGTGGTCCAGCTGAGATTCCGTAGTAACTGCAATGCCCTATTTGTTTTTCAGTGTATTTGAATATGTTCAGCGCTAGAACAATTCTTTCAGAAGAGGGTCGGCGAATCCATAAGATGCGCGTTATCCGTAACATATTATATCGAATTATGCAACTCATGAATAATCTTGCCGGATCGCGCACAGCTCCTTTTACAAGCTGTATGGCGTGTATTTAATCATGAAAGTGATCAATTTCTGTCACAAGCTTATCGTATCGCTACCAAAAAAATTATGTAAAGTGACTTCTTCAAAACAGACATTCATGGAAACTTGGCACATTTCATGTTGGTAAGAACATCTTTCTTATGAAGTTGTAAATATTTATGTGTTCATCTGCTTTATAATGGATAGTATATACGTAAATGAATTAAGAAGTATTTACCCGACGTAATACTTATGAGCGACGGAAAGACAACTGACATTTGATTTTTCGGGTCTTTCTGAATTATACAACTAATATCAGTTCATGTTTTGCCAAATATTAAGCGATTGAGCGCCCCACACGTATGTTTTCGTATATATTAGCGCTGGCTACTCCTAGTTCATGTATTTTTCTACTTAAATTGAAATTTGATCAATTTATATATAATTTCTTTGTAGGTTATCAATGTCGAACAAGAATTAAATTAAAATTATAATCCATTTAAACGTGATCGAAATACCATTGAATATGAATGGTACGAAGAAAGTATCAAAGTCACTGATAAACCGTCCTTATGTGTTCTATCGCTGTCAAATTGTAACGCAGTTGCGGCGTAACTACGAATTTTTCACCGTCGATTTGTGGCGATTAGTTATCGGTTATTAATCAACGATGTATGCCACAATAGTTCCGATTTGGTCTAGTTTTATTATATAGCGTGTATCGTGTGTATTTAGGCTTTTTATTTTTCTTAATCATATTAGAACAATTAGACTTACTAAATGTTGCTTTTTTTGTTCTGCTCTGTCATCTATCTGTCATATGTTAATCTCGTTTAAAAATAAGTCAATTCGAATAGCCAATAGGACTTTTTTCTATTCTGTTCATATATGGCAATGGAAGTGTCATTACAATGCAGTTGTGTCACAATCACAAAAAGATTCTATTCAAACTATTAATAGAAAAGTAACAATTTCGTATGATTTTTTTATCCATATATATACAATTATGACGAATATTGTGACAACAACAGCAGAAGAGGGTTTAGGTCAACGGTATCGTTCTATACAAAATTTTATTCTCGTATGGCTCGCTCCAGACATTGACGATACTAGCGCGATATACATTGACTTAACCAAACAATTAAGAAGAATAGCAAATCCAGTTGAAAAATTCACTGATCCTGATGAATGTATTGACTTTATTACCGATATACGACAATTAAAATCATTTCTAATTATCTCATATTCTTATGCTTGTCGTATAATGCCTTACATTCATGATATACGGCAATTAGAAGCGATCTACATCTTTTCTCAAGATATGTCATATCACGAAGAGTCGATGACGCATTGGCCTAAAGTGATTGGGATCTTTCGTCACGTTACTTCGATTTGTGAATCATTGAAAATATTCATACGTCGTCGAGATGAAGATAAACTCACTGTAAGTATGGCTTCAATTGAAGATATCGATTCTAATAAACATTTGCATGAACTTAATCAATCATTTATGTACACTCAATTATTAAAAGAAATTATTCTTGATTTGAATTATGACGAAAGATCAGTAAAAGATTTGACTCACTACTTGCGTGAAGAATATGGAGATAATGAATATCAGTTGAAATTTATTACTGAATTCGAAGGAAATTATTTCAAAGGAACACCTATTGAGTGGTATACACGTGAAACTTTTTTGTATCGGATGCTCAATTATGCTTTACGTATACAAGATGTTGATTGCATCATTAAGATGGGATTTTTTATACGAGATCTACATAATCAAATTAAGCAACTGCATGCTGAACAATATCCAGTTGGAAAAACACGACTTTTCACTGTTTATCGTGGACAAGGTATGTCATGTGCGGATTTTAAGAAGTTACAAAATTCAATAGGTGGCCTTATATCATTCAACAACTTTTTATCTACTAGTGAAGATTATCATTTCTCTTTCGCATTTGCAGAAAGTCATCAGGATCACTCCGATTTGACTGGAATCTTATTTGAAATAACAATTGATACAACAAAAACACGGGTTCCATTCGCCGATTTACACAATACAAGCTATATGAAAGACGAATATGAGATCTTATTTTCAATGCATACTATTTTTCGCATTTGCAAAATCGAACAACTTAGCGAGAACAACAAGCTTTGGAAAGTACTCTTAGAATTAACAGCAGACAACGATGAACTCTTAGAAAAATTAACTAAACACATGAGAGACGAAATTCAAAATGACGACTCAAAGTGGCATCAACTAACCGCATTATTGGTCTTAGTAGGTCAATTTGATACAGCTGAACAATTCTACAAGATGCTACTCGATAGAGCCGAGATCGAGTCTGAAAAGGCGCATACGTATAATAAATTCGGCTTATTAAAAACTACCATATGTCAATACACAGAAGCTTTGTCGTTTTATGATGAAGCACTTGACATCTACAGAAGATTAGTGCCTTTAAATCATAAGAATTTCGGTTCTATATATAACAACATCGCTATGACGTATAACGGAATGGGAGAGTATGATAAAGCATTTTCATTTCATGAAAAATCCATCGAAATCTTTGAAAAGCAGCTTCCTGCAGATGATCCATCTTTGGCTGATGCATATAATAATATCGCTATGGTATACGAAAACAAAGGAGAGTATTCCAAAGCCTTGTGTTTTTTCGAAAAATCGTTTAACATACGACAAATGATACTTCCCTCAAATCATCCGTCATTGGCTAATTCATACAATAATATCGCAATGGCATACTACAAAATGGAAAGATACTCAGAAGCAATTTCCTTCATCGAAAGAACACTTTTAATCGAACAAAATACAATGCCTCCAAATCATCCATCATTGGCTATTTCATATGGTAACATCGCTGTAATATACGAAAGAACGAAGCAGTACTCTAAAGCAATTTTCTTTCTTGAAAAATCTATTGAAATATTGGAAAAATCATACGGCCCAACGCATCAAGACTGTTACGATTCGTACACTTTCATGGCTGATATTTATAAACAAATGAAAGAGTATTCCAGAGCACTTTCTTTCTATGAAAAATCTCTTCAAATTCAACAAAAACTAGTTCCTTCCAACCATGCTAATTTAGTCTTTTTGTACAATGGCATTGCTCATATATATATGGAATTGCATGAGTACTTGAATGCGCGTCTTTTCTTCGAAAAATCGATTCAAATCCTGGAAGAAAAACCATCTCAAAACTATCTCGTAGCGGCTAGTTTGTACAACAATATAGCTTGCACATACATTCTTGTGGAACAGTATTCGGCAGCACTTCCATTTCTTGAAAAATCACTTTCAATTCATCAACGAAGACTCTGCCCCGATCATCCTGATTTGGCTACTTTATACTACCATATTGGTTCTTGTCATAGACTAACGAACCAACATTCGAAAGCACTTTTATTTTATGACAAATCACGTCTAATTCGTGAAAAAATACTTTTTCCATCTCATCCTCATCTGGCTACATTATACACTGATATTAGTCTTGTATACACTCAAATACAAGAATACTCCATGGCATACTGGTTCTTTCGACGTGCATTCAATATTCATCAATGTTTATTGTCTTCCGACCATCCTGATCTCAAAATATATAGAAATTTTTTAGAATTCGTCAAACAAAAATGCAAATAATTCAGTCGACGTTTAAATAGTTCACCAAACCTATCGACGAACATTGTTGTTTTCCCTTCAGCCTTATTAGCATAAACTTTGTCAGTCGCAGATTCAAACATTTCTCGTTGTAAAAGTTCATGAATGAGAATTACGATGATAAAAAAACAAACGGTAAAAGAATAATAATCCGTCGAGCAAAGCGTCTCTTCTTATTTTTGTTAAATTGAACACAATAATACAGTAGAAAATTACAAAATTAACCAAAATATATAGAAATTGTTCGTTTGTGGTTATATTTTACAGGAATAAGATTGACGATAATGATAAATAGTAAGAAACTAATAACGTTATAGACAAAAATCAAAAAGTTTTCAGATTCCTGGCGAGAAATTTCTAGTCGACGCTTATGTATAAACTCGATTCATTATGATGGTTTTATATCGCTCAAATCACATCACATTCCTTTCCTTCTCGAACAGATCNTTGATTTTGATTAGAAAGCATTCAAATGTCTTTTCAATGGAGATCAATGTGTCATTGATTATCGAATAAGTCGAAAATGTTATCGATGTCGATTAAAACGATGTTTAAATATGGGAATGAAGAAAGAATTACTTCTAAGTCAAGAAGAAATTCAACGACGAAAACATGTTGGAATAAAGCGAATACCAGCAAATTTCAATATAAAATCGACTCCACCAATGTTAGAAGAAGATAAACTATTAGTTAATAGGAACCAGGAGGATATATTATTAAAATCATTAGCTTTGCAGGAAACAACATTGATTGAACGAATTCGATCAACATTTTTGTCGATTTTTGACAATGATCAATGCACAGAATTTACTGATCGTGTTGTTTCACCCGATGATGCTTCAGAATTAATCTGTTGTTTACAATTTAATAATCACGTTGCTCTTCGTCTCATTAAGTTCTGTCGTTCTATTGAATATTTCGAAGGTTTACATGTAGATGATCGCTTTATATTGATTAAATACAATACTCTTTTTCTTTCTGGTATTTTGTCGTGTCATCGAAGGAAATCAACAAGTCATTTGTCGCCATACACGAAATATGAAGAAGAACTGTTTCAACGTGAACTTTACATATTATGTAATAAATCAGATGCGATGCTGGAGATGATTGTAAACTTATCAAACTGTTTCATTGAAGTTATTCAACATGATGAAATATTCTTATGCCTTCTTCTGATTATTTTTCTATTTTCGAAAGGTTTATCAATGAGTGAAAATGAACCGACACTTAACGATTCACTATCTGCCTATCGAGCTCAAGCATATTATACAAAGTTATTGTGGAATTATTTGATGAATAAACAAACTGAAACAAATACGTATGAATATTTCATTAAAATATCGATTATTATTTGTCGAGCTCAAACGACTGTAATGAAATTTAAAGAATTTCTTTGTAATCAAATGGTGACTGTGGATGCTATCGATGACATTGCACCGCTTATGCAAACTATTCTACATATTTCTTAGTTGTATTCATTGTCGATCATAAAATTGTTTTCTAAATATGAATTTGTCGTGTATTGCATTGTACAAAAACACCAAGTGATCATAGGAGACCTATCAGATCACCACGATTTATGAATAAAAATCAGAATCAGAATCAAACGAGGTTTCTCACACTCGACCTGACAAAACCATACATCATCGTGTTTACTAATCTTGAAATAAATTGATGAAGGAATTTTTATTTTTGGTATGAGTTAGTAGACAGACAAGACAACATGTAGAAAATGATAAGATTTATTAGAATGTTAGTTTTTCTTTGGAGCTGAATCAGCATAGAGATCTGCTTGCATAATTTCAGGATAACGATCACCGGCTACATTGGCTTGTTCACAAGCATCTCGAATTTCTTTAATTTCTTCTTTCGATAGTTTAATTTGAGCAGCTCGAATGTTTTCTTCGAGATTTTTTATTTTACTCGTACCTGGTATAACAATGAAATCATCACCTTGAGCAAGAATCCATGCTAATACTAATTGACTTGAAGTGTAACCTTTTTTATGCGCCATTGTTGTCAATCGATCAACTAATTGAAGATTCTTTGGAAAGTTTTCTTTGGAAAAACGTGGGAGCATTCTTCGAAAGTCATTGGCATCGAAACCGTCAGGATTTTTGATTTGACCAGTTAATAATCCACGGCCTAATGGTGAATAGCAAACGATAGCTACACCGAGTTCTCGACATGTTTTCAGAAGACCAATTGCTTCGCTTTCGATGTCTAAACTGAATGGTGAATATTCAACTTGTACACAAGCAATTGGATGAACAGCGTATGCTCGTCGTAATGTATTACTTGAACATTCCGATAAACCAATGTATTTGATTTTTCCAGCTTTAACAAGTTCTTTTAGTGCATTCATGGTTTCTTCAATTGGCACCTTTTTGTCAATACGATGAACATAATAGAGATCAATTGAATCAACGCCAAGGCGTTGTAAACTTTTTTCACATGCTTCACGAACATATTGTGGATCACCACGAATTGACGTTGATTTAAAACCAGGGCTTATTACAACAGCAAATTTTGTTGCAAGAAATATCTACAAATTCAAAGTACTCGTCGTTATATATCTGCGATAGGAATTTGACTTACTTTTTGACGTTGATGCGGATATTTTTGGAAATACTTTCCTAATAAATCTTCACTATCTCCATACATATCGGCAGTATCGAAATAGGTACTACCAAGTTCAATAGCACGATCAAAGACTTTGAATCGTTCTTCATCAGATCCAGGAGGTCCATATCCAAGTGACAAACCCATTGTTCCATAGCCGATTGCTGATATTTTTGGACCATTTTTACCTAATCGACGTCCGGGCATTGACAACTGGTTACACGATCGACTACACATTTTGACTTTCTCTTAGTACTGTTAATGTTTATGAATTCATGCGATCTTCATCGAGTATATATACTTGTATAGACTTCACAGGTACATAAGAAAGGTGAACGCGTTTCGTACACGTTAAGAAAGAAAGGAAAAAGGTGAACGCGTTTCGTAACCGTTAAGAAAGGAAGAAAAAAGGTGAACGCGTGCCGTACCCGACAGGAAAGAGAAAGAACGGGAAATGACTAATATTTTTTTATTATGCTGTATTTTTATACGATCGAATTATTAAACAATTAACCCTTTTGCCACTGATAGATTATCAATGGTTATTGTCATTTTTTAGATCCTAGAGTTACGATTTAGGACTTGGATGTTGCTATCTTTAATTAACATCTATGAGAATGTTACTAGCGAGTGCCTGCACAAACATCAGGTCGAATTTTCTGAGAAATTCTCATTACTCTTCTGTAAGCTTAACCGAATCGAGACAGTTGATATTTTACTGAGTACAAGAAGCTGTCGTCTTTTTAGTGAAGACTCCAGTAGCTTACTGATTCAACATGAACTTGAACATATTTATCAATAGTTTTCAAAATTTCTTTACGAACGAAGGTCGCATATACAGTAATTCAGTCTTTTACTTATAGAATAGTTTTGAAGGTCAAGTCCGATAAAATAAACATCACGTAATTATTATGAGATAGTACATTTCATCGTTTCATTTAAAATAACAAAAACTTTTTCGATTTATAAAATGAATCACCACTTCGATATTTTGTTGAATATTTTCAAGGAATCGTTGAAACGAATTGTCGTTTGTTTTTCTTCGTCATTATACAAAGATACATACATATTATGCCTCTCATTCATTAGTACAGAATAAATATGCACACATGTTTTTCTCTTCTTTCCGTTCTTCGTCTTTTTTTCCTCCATCTCTTTGTAATACAATACCGAAGGTTACAAACATCAACATATCATTCAGTATTGAGACACGAAGAAAAAAACATGGCTGGTGTAGCTAAACTATTCGATGGTCATATTCTCGATAAATCCAACAGAAACGTCGATCTAAATCATGAGAAATATCAAGGAAAAGTCATCGGTCTTTACTTCAGTGCTCATTGGTAGATTTTGCACAACTGATCTTATTCGTCTTTCTTATTTTCCACTGTAGGTGTCCACCTTGTCGTGGTTTCACTCCGATTCTGGTCGATTTCTATAACAAATATGGTTCAGAAAAGAACTTAGAGGTTATCTTCATAAGTTCCGATAATGATGAAGAATCATTCAATGAATATTATCAAGAAATGCCTTGGTTAACATTAGATTTCAAAGAACGCGAGAAGAAAAATGAATTAGACGAGAAATTTCAAGTCGATGGAATTCCAACATTGATTTTACTCGATGGAAATAGTGGAAATATTCTTTGTAAAGATGCCAGGCAAGAAATTCAATTTAATGATAAGCAAGGTGACCGATTTCCTTGGACGAGCTCATCGGAAGCAGCGAAAAAATCTTCTCGATCGTGTATTTGTTGTTAATTTCGTATATTCGACGTGTTTTCAAATATAATCTTGATGGTCACACTTTCTTTCATACAGGATGTTTCAAAGCCGATTGCAAATAATGTGATAGCTTTTTGTATGAAGAAATTTCTGATAATATCGTCATATTTGAGCAAATTCAACATTTGTTTTCAAGACGAATTCATTGGAAGAATAATCTTACTCTAAAAAACTGTAGAGTCATTATACTTTAAACATTTTGATTTGACAATTTCAAAGTGACTGCTTGCGTAACTAAAACCAAAATCCACTACTACGTTTTTCAACTCTTCGTAAAATAGTTCGTAGTTCCACGATCACCGTTGTTCGCATACAAAAAATGTTCATTATAAGACTCGCGAATTCGCGATCTGAAGGCGAAGGACTCAAGAGATAATCATATTTTCAATGAATAAAATGTATTTGAGAAAATTGAAAAATTATAATTCCCTTAATTGTTTGCCTGATAAGCTGATTGGTTATTATCTAAGCTGTAATAAATTACCTCACTTTGGACTCCAACACTCTCAGCTATACACTCAAGCTGTTTCTGATTCGTCATCGCATCTGAATATAATATAAGATTGCTTTCGCAAGGATTTTCCATCCTAGGTCAAACAAACTCTTTCTAAAGGTTTAAATATCCTATGAGAACAATGAATCTATGATTTCAACGTGAACATTGCCTAATGAATTCATAATCAACAGAGTAAAGTAAAACTTCAAAAAAGACACCTTGCTATATGAAACAACAAACGTATGGTAGATGCATAACAACACCCTCGGTATATACGTGTGAAAAATGAAAGTTAATTATTGGTATGACTTATACAGTCGTTTGAAAAAAATATTCTTCTGTTTCTTCATTTTTCTGTACACAAAATAATGACAAGTCAAACAAAGATAATTATCGTAACAACAGATGAAGATCTGATTCACCAACTCTAAGTTTCTCTTTGTTTCTAAGAAATGCTTTTTCTTTGTATAGAATTCTGCTAGTGAACACGTTTCCAAATGGTTCACTAATAATATTGAACAAAAGCAAATCGAAACTGTTAAACGAGGAAAGAAAGTAATAGATCGAATTTGTATTATTTGTGGTGATAAAGCTATTGGATTTAATTATGGTATTCTTTCGTGTGCATCATGTAAAGCTTTTTTCCATCGAAATGGAAATGAAGAAAGAATTACTTCTAAGTCAAGAAGAATTCGAACAGCAGCAAACTCCAATATAGAATAGACTCGACCAATCTTCAAGGAAAATAAACTACAGTGAAACCTCTATATAGTGAATATCATCGGGACTTTTCAAAGTGTTCCACTCGTAGAAGTGAAGTCTTCAATAAGGGAATGCTTCGGCGACACAGTAAATGTGTTTTCCGGTCGTTCAATTTAATATTTTGAAGATTTTACATTGAATATAATACTCTTTCTTTATCTGGTATTTTATCATGTTATAGAAGGAAATGACTAAACACGAATCGTCATTTAATGATCCGTTAGCTGTTTATCGAGCTCAATCATATTTTACTAAACTATTGTGAGTTTATTTGATGAGTAAACAAATGGAAACAGATATATCTTAATTACTTACATTGATTATGGATCATAAGGTTTTTATTAAAATAAGAATTTATCGTGCATTGAATTGTATGAAAACACAAAGCAATAATTGTGGTTGAGGAACATGAACATGTCGTTAATTCTGTGAATAACTCAAAGGTGATTAGAAACATAATTTCTATAAGAAACAGCTAAACAAGTTATCCGATCCACGAGGCTTATATATCTAGAAATTAGAGTTCGAACCAAGAACTGATCGCGCGAATTACACATAAGCGTTGACAACAAACAGATGTCCAATGCAATAGACAAAACTGTTTTGTCAGCAAAACTGAGAAAAATGATATCGTGAAATAAACTGGTTGAAAAAATTTATTTTTGACGTGACTGTGATAGACAAGACGACATTGAGAAAATAATAAGTTTTATTAAAATGTCACTTTCATGCACGAATGTTTTGATTTAGTTCTTAATTTTTCTTTGGGGCTGAATCAGCATAGAGATCGGCATGCATAAGTTCAGGATAACGATCACCAGCCACATCGGCTTTTTCACAAGCATCTCGAATTTCTTTGATTTCTTCTTTCGATAGTTTAATTTGAGCAGCCTGAATGTTTTCTTCGAGATTTTTTATTTTACTCGTACCTGGTATAACAATGAAATCATCACCTTGAGCAAGAATCCATGCTAATACTAATTGACTTGAAGTGCAACCTTTTTTGTATGCAATTGTCGTCAATCGATCAACTAATTGAAGATTCTTTGGAAAGTTTTCTTTGGAAAAACGTGGAAGTATTCTTCGAAAATCGTTGGCACTAAAGTCATCAGGATTTTTGATTTGACCAGTTAATAATCCACGGCCTAATGGTGAATAGCAAACAATTGCTACACCGAGTTCTCGACATGTTTTCAAAAGACCAATTGCTTCGCTTTCGATGTCTAAACTGAATGGTGAATATTCAACTTGTACACAAGCAATTGGATGAACAGCGTATGCTCGTCGTAATGTATTACTTGAACATTCCGATAAACCAATGTATTTGATTTTTCCAGCTTTAACAAGTTCTTTTAGTGCATTCATGGTTTCTTCAATTGGCACCTTTTTGTCAATACGATGAACATAATAGAGATCAATTGAATCAACGCCAAGGCGTTGTAAACTTTTTTCACATGCTTCACGAACATATTGTGGATCACCACGAATTGACGTTGATTTAAAACCAGGGCTTATTACAACAGCAAATTTTGTTGCAAGAAATATCTACAAATTCAAAGTACTCGTCGTTATATATCTGCGATAGGAATTTGACTTACTTTTTGACGTTGATGCGGATATTTTTGGAAATACTTTCCTAATAAATCTTCACTATCTCCATACATATCGGCAGTATCGAAATAGGTACTACCAAGTTCAATGGCACGATCAAAGACTTTGAATCGTTCTTCATCAGGTCTAGTAGGTCCATATCCAAGTGACAAACCCATTGCTCCATAACTGATTGCTGATATTTTTGGACCATTTTTACCTAATCGACGTTTGGGCATTGAAGACTTATTACACGATCGACTGCACATTTTGACTTCACTTAGTATTGATAATCCTTATGAATTTACTAAATCTTTGTCGAGTATATATACCTGTATAGACTTCGCAGGAATGTAAGAAAGGTGAACGCGTTTCGTGCTTGACAAGAAAGAAAAAGAATGCAAATGACGGATTATGTTTTTGATTGTGCTAAATTTTGATACAATAATATAACCGGTTCTGTTTACTACTGAATTATTTAAAAAATAGTTAATATTTTTGTCATCAATAGATTATCGAGAACTGAGGGTAAACGTCAATAATGATCAAAGTTGTTTTGTAGACCATAGACGTGGATGAATAGTAATCATTAGGTTACATTTTACGACTGAAATGTCGATATTTTTGGTATTAGCTAGTGCGGAGTAGCTGCCTAATTCGACTTATAATATAAGTGACGAATTCCTAATACACTCCTATGCATACTTAGGAATAGATAGCGATAGATTTAGCTATGCCTATTCACCCATGCAAGTTTAGGAATAGATAGGGATAGATTTAGTTATACATAGTTTCAGGAATACTTTCAGCCGAGTTATATGTCAGCCTATGTCCATCGGTATACACATGTATAACTAAATCTATTCCTAAACTCCTAGGTTTACATAGATATACATCTATTTATATTCGAACTGAGATTAGTCTAACAGATGTCCATTTATAATATAAGTCGAATTAGGCAACTCATGGACAAATGATACTTCCTCCAAATCATCCGTCATTGGCTAATTCATACAATAATATCGCAATGGCGTACTGCAAAATGGAAAGATACTCAGAAGCAATTTCTTTCATCGAAAGAACACTTTTAATCGAACAAAATACAATGCCTCCAAATCATCCATCATTGGCTATTTCATATGGTAACATCGCTGCAATATACGAAAGAACGAAGCAGTACTCTAAAGCAGTTTTCTTTCTTGAAAAATCTATTGAAATATTGGAAAAGTCATACGGCCCAATGCATAAGGACTGTTATCATTCGTACACAATCATAGCTGATATTTATAGACAAATGAAAGAGTATTCCAGAGCACTTTCTTTCTATGAAAAATCTCTTCAAATTCAACAAAAACTAGTTCCTTCCAACCATGCTAATTTATTCTTTGTGTTCAATGAAATTGCTCATATATATATGGAATTGCATGAGTACTTGAATGCGCGTCTTTTCTTCGAAAAATCGATTCAAATCCTGGAAGAAATACCATCTCAAAACTATCTCGTATTGGCTAGTTTGTACAACAATATAGCTTGCACATACAGTCTTGTGAAACAGTATTCGGCAGCACTTCCATTTCTTGAAAAATCACTTTCAATTCATCAACGAATAGTTTGCCCCGATCATCCTGATTTGGCTACTTTATACTACAATATTGGTTCTTGTGATAGATTAAGGAAGTAAGATGNTTTTTGTCGATTTTTGACAATGATCAATGCACAGAATTTACTGATCGTGTTGTTTCACCCGATGATGCTTCAGAATTAATCTGTTGTTTACAATTTAATAATCACGTTGCTCTTCGTCTCATTAAGTTCTGTCGTTCTATTGAATATTTCGAAGGTTTACATGTAGATGATCGCTTTATATTGATTAAATACAATACTCTTTTTCTTTCTGGTATTTTGTCATGTCATCGAAGGAAATCAACAAGTCATTTGCCGCCATACGCGAAATATGAAGAAGAACTGTTTCAACGTGAACTTTACATATTATGTAATAAATCTGATGCGATGCTGGAGATGATTGTAAACTTATCAAACTGTTTCATTGAAGTTATTCAACATGATGAAATATTCTTATGTCTTCTTCTGATTATTTTTCTATTTTCGAAAGGTTTATCAATGAGTGAAAATGAACCGGCACTTAACGATTCATTATCTGCCTATCGAGCTCAAGCATATTATACAAAGTTATTGTGGAATTATCTGACGAATAAACAAACTGAAACAAATACGTATGAATATTTCATTAAAATATCTATTATTATTTGTCGAGCTCAAACGACTGTAATGAAATTTAAAGAATTTCTTTGTAATCAAATGGTGACTGTGGATGCTATCGATGAAATTGCACCGCTTATGCAAACTATTCTACATATCTCTTAGTTGTATTCATTGTCGATCATAAAATTGTTTTCTAAATGTGAATTTGTCGTGTATTGCATTGTACAAAAATACCAAGTGATCATAGGAGACCTATCAAATCACCACGATTTATGAATAAAAATCAGAATCAAACGAGTTTCTCACACTCGACCTGACAAATCCATACATCACCGTGTTTACTAATCTTGAAATCAATTGATGAAGAAATTTTTATTTTTGGTGTGAGTTAGTAGACAAGACAAGACAACATGTAGAAAATGATAAGATTTATTAGAATGTTAGTTTTTCTTTGGAGCTGAATCAGCATAGAGATCGGCTTGCATAATTTCCGGATAACGATCACCGGCTACATTGGCTTGTTCACAAGCATCTCGAATTTCTTTGATTTCTTCTTTCGATAGTTTCATTTGAGCAGCCTGAATGTTTTCTTCGAGATTTTTTATTTTACTCGTACCTGGTATAACAATGAAATCATCACCTTGAGCAAGAATCCATGCTAATACTAATTGACTTGAAGTGCAACGT